TTGGAAATTTGCGGCGACTTCTCATGGCGGCGAACGGCGGCGGTCGGCTGGGGAAGATGACCGAAAATATGTATGTAGAAGGTTTGATTATATTATACCAAAAGACTTCTAACGGATTACCTAAACACCCACTTTGATTAATCTTGGTGGAGCGATTAATCGAATCTCCCTAACTTTCGAACGATGTTAATTCTCACGTGTATGTAGGAGAAAATCGGCCAAGACAACAACATATGAGAGATTGGGACATGGTGTATTTATAGGTTCCATTATGGATCTTAAGGAGTTGCTAAATATAAGCTTATCCCATTAGGCCAAGGAATTCTAATTCTACTCCATCTACTAATCCAATCTAGGGTAGAATTCTCCTACTACTCATAACCTTCTAGAAGACTTCCAAGTCTCATAACTTTAGACAAGATTCAAGTAGGAATATTTCCTTCCTTATGGAATAATAAATATGGAATAAAATTAGTTCCTTATTAAATGGAATTAAATAATAAAACATCTCACTATAGTAATATTATTGCTCTCCCCATTTAGCTCCTATTTTATCAATAAAATCGAGCTTCCATAATTAAATAATGTTAATCCGATTGATCGACTTACCTCCCTATGTTTAAGATATAATATTCGTTAATTAATTAAATTACTGAAAAAATAATTAATTAACTTCTTATTCATTTATGAAATTAGTACCACTCAGATCCTTAACCATTATTCAAACAATCGTCTCCCTACAGGGTTTTAACATAATGTACATTCCTGAGCTCATTTCAGAGACGTCATCAATCCAGCGTACTGGAACATAGTGACCATAAATAATTATAATAGCACATCATATAATAATTCTTATTTACCAAAATACCTCGTATGTCATCCTAATAAAATAGGAATCACTTGGTAAATCAAGTAAACAAGAAGTGAATAAATATGGCTATTTTATATTATCTTACAACTTAAGAGAACACATCAATCATCGAAGGTCTAGATTACAACAACGATCAGTGAGTTTTATAATCTTATCCTTCCACAGTCTTGTTCAACACTTATCATAAGTGCTAGTGTAATTCTTCAGACAAAGACCAACTGAATCAAAAATACACTACAGTCTTTTTCTAAGAGAGGTCTCACTACATGTCTAGACTGTGAATGAATAGTTTAGTCTTCTAAGGAACTGATAGGTGATCTTTTTGTTCGAAACACTTCGAACCACAATATCTCAATATAAGACATAGAGTATGATTTGCATAAATAAATAAACTGCAAACATATGTACTTTGACTGAAACATGATGGCCAGATCAAAATGGAATTGATAGAATCTACAAAACATAGCTTTTACAGCATATCTCTAACAGGGTGTTACATTGGGATCAAACATATGAATAAGGGAAGAGGACGAAGGCCAAAGAACAATTCCGAACTGGTCGTCCGACCCTGTAGGCCGTGTAATCGTCTTTGAGTCTACAATAAATGTAAGCCGTAAGTGTTTTTATCCACTCTTTAGATTTTTTTTGCTTAGCTTATTTTTGTAGATTATATATATGACTTAAACAATACGATGTTTCAACAAGTAGTATCAAAGAACATGGTTTATTTTTTTTTTTTGTGCAAATTTTGGATCTTTAAGTCTTATGTGCATAATGTGTGTCCAAAGAACAACGATATTTGGGTTGGGGATCTTGCCTCAATCACCCACTATTCGGGGTGTTTTTTTTTTAAAAAAAAAGAGCACAACCATATTTAGATTATTGCACAACTTGGTTTGTAGGTGTATTGTTAATCAATTGTTATTCCGTTGAATGAATGTTTTAATGTATGCAAGTTTTTAAAGCCCTGAACACATGGAGGATTTTATGGGTTGGAAAGCTCTTGTAATAGTTTATTCGCAGAGTGATACACCATATAGATTTATTACTTTTATATAGGGGCTTGCAAGTGTTGGGTTCGACAAAGAATGTGGTTATTAATGTTCGTTAATCGAATCCTAAGAAATTAATCCTAAAGCGTAGTGAATCTAAAGCTTAGGATCAAGATCTTACTTGTTTGTATATATCGACTATGTACAGACATATCTGGCCTACGGGGCCGGACGATTGGTTGTGAGATGTTCTCAACCTCCTCGTCCACCTCGGTCGACTTGTTCGCACGTCTCGTTGGTCCACGCACGTAACGCGTGATCGCCACCATTTGGTGTCACACTAATTGCTGTGTGTTTCCTCAGCGAGTCGTCTACCACCTCGCCGTGTGCTGCTTCTCCTATCGCGTCGCCCCTCACCGTGTCATCCTCGTGTGTCACATTGTGCTTGTTGCCGAGTGCGCCGCGCTACTGTGTCTTGCCTTGCGGTAGTCGCACGTTGCATCTCCACTTGCGCGCGTGTCGTCGATGGGCTCGTGGGTCTCCGATATAGTGTTGTGCGTTGTATGTGTGTGTCGCTAATCATCCCTCGACCTTATGTCTTCTACTGTAATCCTTAACCTCCGTTGGGCGTCATGTGGGTGGCGATCTCCCAAACTCGAGTGTCGCAACTCCCTCTCTATTGCTATAGCAATTTCACATGTGAAAATAATTATTCCTAGCCTTGAGATGAGTTCCTCACATGGTTTATTTTTTGGCTACAAGTATTGAGGCTTGCATTAGGACTCTCAATGGGCCAAGAAATACTTGGTTTTTGGTCTACCCTATATCTTGTGCCATTAATAATAAATGATTATACTAAATATTTATTATTGCACTTGTTTTTTCTCACCCTAACTACATGGCCTCCACTATCCTCGATTTATCTCCTTGTGTAAAAGATATAACGTTCATTAATTAATTGAATTTATTAACTTTTTGTTTTAAAATTAGCACCACACAATCTCTATTATTATGTCGGAATTTATTCCACCTGCAGGGTTTAACATAATAAGCATTTTGAGCTCGTTTCGGGGGCGTCATGAACTTGGCGCACCAGTACACAATGACCAAATGTAATCAACATCACACCATGTAAATAATAATATTCCCAACTCACCGAGTTATTGTCCTGGCAGAATAAGTCGCCCTTTGATGAAAACAAGGAAATAAATATTAAATACAAGTGTCCGTTATTATAAGACGACTTAAGAGTATGACTGATATTATGAGGTTTAGTTTATCTACTAGGTCAATATAAAATAATCTTCTCATCTTGGGTCCATTCATTCATATCATACAAAGTGCACTACCATAATTCATTAGTTAAGATAAACTAACTAAAATTATAATATCACCATACCGATAGGTTTGTCCATTGCTATCTCGGTTATGAACCTTATTTATATTGCACAAGGAATCGATAATATAATCTTTTGTGGTACGACGCCACACTATATTTTCTTCAATGTGAATAACAGGACAAAGTTTGCATTGCCATATTAGAAATATAAATTCAAACACTTTCGACTAATACCATTCTCATTCGAAATTGGTATTTTGGTTTAAACTATAGCGAAGCTTTTAGTATACCAAGCAACAATCTATTACTCATACTTAAAGCTTTAGCTTGTCGCGTATACAAATTTCAACTCCCACTTACACTCAAAGTTTTCGCTTGTCGAGTATACGAACTTTATCCCCTACTAATACTATTGACCGTGTTGTCTTAACTGCCATACATCTGGCTCTCAACCCCTTGCATGGCCATCGAAGGCTTTCGTCAGAATGCCTTTTGCAAAAGGATATGCTAGGTTGCCAACTGATGCAATCGAGGCGGCAACAACTTCTACCATTCTTACAAACTTTCATACTGGGTGGTACTTGCACTCCATGTTTTTACTTGCCTTATGAACTTATGATTCCTTCATGTTTGCTATTGTACCAATTGTTAGTTACTATTAAAATTTGCTTTGACTTTATAACATATTATAATTTCAAGATAAAATAGGTACACCATATTAAGTGATCCATTCACACAAAGTTTTATTAGGACCATAAAGTTTGTACACTGTCTTATATTACCCCTATCAGCTCGATGGATCGATTGGGACCACAAGCTTGAGTCACCCGGCCCGTGATGGTTTCTAGCTCGACGATATCATGAAGTACGACTACTTAAGGTACAAGTCACCTTTGGTAAAATAGTATTAGCTTAGGGCTCGTATAGGAGCTCGTTCGAAAGCGAGGTTTGCAACGACCTGGAGGTCGTAGCAAAGGTTGCCTAATAGAGTGCGAAACTATAGGGTCATGAGGTCGATGTGCCGACTTAAGGGCCTACAGAGTGCTATCAAACAGGGAAATGAATTCCTACTCACATGGTAAGTCTATTTCGCCAATTAGACGTTCTTAGAGTTGTGTTTTAATATGAAACAAGATGTGAACATCATCTTCATAGTCATAAGGTTATATGTAAATAAGAAGACAACCTCTATTTTACGTATTGATTAACAATTACAAGTGCGAAAAAGAAAAAAAAAAAAATTACGGAACTTGAGTTGGAGGGCGGTTTGTGACATCATGGTCTACAAAGCCTGTTCGAACTTCAAAGTAATTTGTATATCACAATGTTTATGGAATTTTTTACGTGAAAAAAAAAAAAACAACTGCCTGGACAAAAAACAAAACAGAAAAGAGGATGTGGACAAGAATCAAAGTATTTACAAAATACGTTTTAAAACGTATTTTGTAAATACGTTTTCTTTTGTAAAAAGAATTTGTAAAACGTATTCTCTAAATACATTTTATAATTAAATTGTAAAAAAAACGTATTCAGTGAATACGTATTTTTGATTTTGGTGAACTCCCCCCATTTTTTTTTGTTTTTTGTCCACTTATTATTATTTTACTAATAAATATATAAATTGCTCAATGTTTATGTAATTGCGGGCGCCTTTCGTGGCAAAGTTTGGTCCTCGTAAAGGCCGCGTTCCTCTCGCCTTCCTTTATCTCGACGCCACAATTCATACGTACGGCAGTGGCACACACCAACTGCGTACACTCTCCGCCTTCCTCACCTTCATGCTCAAGAAAAAGAAACGATGGCTCGAATGATCTCGAAGCCCCACAACAATTTCTTCAATTGCTCATTTGGCGCGAGCACTTCAACATTTAGGACTTATGCCAAGCACCATCATTCGAAGAGCTTTCTCTCTGAGCGAAGATTCAAGCACAGAGTCTATTGCTGTGTAAAGGAGACGGAAAGAGAGGACGCTGCCCAAGCAAAGAGAATTTTGAGTGGGCTCGAAGTGAATGGTCAGTTGGAGGAAGAGGAGAGTGTGGGAGAGGAAGTGGGCCTCTATCGGGATTGGCCGCCATGGAAAGATCTTCCCCAGAGATATAAGCTCATCGGGACTACGTCCTTGGCCTTCGTCATTTGCAACATGGACAAGGTCAAATTTCTCTCTTGTTTTTGGTTTTTACCACGGAGGAGGAAAATGTATTCATATGCTTGTAAATGCGTTAAATTTAACATGTATGCTCGCTAGAAGTGTTTGAGTGAAATGAAAGGTTATATGCAGATAGTGTAATTCTGTGTTTTCTTCTAAAGTGCTTGAGCTATGTATTCACCACCAACTTTCCGTATGGAAAGGGAATTAGGTTTGTTCTTCCCAGAATGTAATGTTTGAGTTGAAACAGTGTATTGGGATAACTGGAACTATTTTAATGGAGTGTACACAACTTGTATAAGCATTGATTTAAATATGCTATCTATATTGATGAGTATTTGTAGTACCATTAAGTAGAATATTCGGTTTATAGTTGACTGTCGACTGATTTTACATTTTTCCTGCACTAAATAGGTGAATTTGAGTATCGCTATAATTCCAATGTCGCATCAATTCGGATGGAATGCTTCTGTGGCTGGATTGGTGCAATCTTCATTCTTCTGGGGTTATGCTCTTAGTCAGTTGCCTGGTGGATGGCTTGCAAAACTGTTTGGCGGGAGGTTAGTGTCTTAGGCTAGACTTATATTAATGACACTATCGAGACAGATATATTTCTATTCGGAAGTATTTTGCTAATTTCTTGTGCCTATGAACAGTATAAACTAAGGATATTTTGGTTGCTCATGGTCTCATGCTACGCATAGAGGACTTTCCTATATTAAGTAGACTTGATTTCTATCTATCTTTATCTGTTATTGGTTTAAATTAGTTGGGCTCATGATATTCCGGGTAAAAGATGAAAATGGTGCTCCTTCAAATTACGACAGAAATAATTGTGCATGATGTAAACAAAGAAAAAAGAGTATAAACAAGTAATAAACTGCCTTTTTTACAGCATCATATATGTTGGAGTGGTAGTGTATGAGAAGAAACTAATGGGCTCATGGCCTCACACAAGTTATATACATATATGGTAACCTAGTCGGCCATAAAAGATTGAAGACCTGGGTTGTTCTCCCGTTGGGCCCTCAGAAGGGTTTCCACTAGTTTGAATCAGAAAGCTTGTCCATTTGAGTATGGAAAAGGTCAGAAAGTAAACTGAGCTTTTCCCCAGTTGTTTAAGAATTCTCTCTTATTTGATCAACTCTGTAACTTAATGTGTTTTATCCATTTGGATATGCGTTGTAGTTTTAGCTGTATTTCCTCAACGTCTTTGCTTCCAGTTAATAGTTACCTGTCAACAAAGAGCTTAACGTAACATCATAGCATCTGATCCTGCCAATATGTGTCCTATTGTTTACAACTCAAAATGTTTGTCTCATCTATGTTTCCTGATGGCGGTAATTTCATCTTCCTAATGTATTTTATTAAAGTGAAGACAAGTGTAATAGGGTCTTATCATGCTAAATTTATTCTAATTCAAGCTTATTTTACACAGTAAAGTTCTTGAGGTGGGTGTCCTTGCCTGGTCGCTGGCCACAGCCTTGGTTCCTATAGTTGCTGGTTTTATGCCTGGACTTATATTCTCTAGGATTTTGGTAATTCTGCAGCCTCCATTCACCTCTTCATTGAATTGTGATCAAAATTCTTGCTGTAGCAAAAACTTGAACTTTTACAACTGATTTTCATAGAAAACTATAGTTGCACCATGTATTATCTGTTTTGTGTTTGTCATGACTACCTTACTTAAAATTTCAGGTTGGAATTGGAGAAGGCGTTTCACCATCTGCTGCCACTGATATGATTGCCATGTATGTAGTAACATCGTTCCTGTTAAACTAAAACAAACACAGAGATGAGATGGAAAATTGTAGCAGACAGAGAGTAAATGGATTATTGAAAAAAAAAAAAAAATCTTTTAATCGATAGTTTCTACAATTATACTTTGTTAGTATTATCAGTTATCACTTTTGGCTGGACCTAAATTATCATGGGATAACAGATCTTTTTGGGATACTAGTTATGTACAAAGCTGAAGGGTAGATTCAGGGACTAAAATCAGATGCAAGTAAAATATGCTTTGCTTGAATGGAATCCCTTCCTTTTCTTAATTACCTAAGGTAAAATGTATTTTATTGCATCATCGCACATTATCACGAATCTTCAATGTATAATTGAATATATCACAGCTTTCTGAGTTGCTAAATATTATGGATCATATTTTCCTGATAAATGGTTGTGTGCTGTGTTTTATTGTGTATATCCGTAAGAAAAATGAAGGGTTCCACGTGTACGGGAACTAAATGTTCCATACATGAAATATAGTTGGTGGACAAGGGTTGATATGAATTCATGTAGTTTATGTATTTACTTACTTTTATATATTGGCGGCTTGTTTGGTTTTGGAACTTTTGGTTGGATTTTCTGAGAGAGCGATATTACGGAGCTCACCATAAAAAGAAAACTTCATTATATTTTTGGTTTTCCATCATTCTTAATAATAATCATGATGAAGTGTGGAATGGAACAAGTGTGGTAGTTGGGATTCAGAAAGTTGGTAACTTTGGTTCAATTTCTTATTCGATTTTTCTTTTGTCACCTCAATAGTCGGTAATGTCGCAGCTTTTCAACGAAGCCTATTTTTAGTTTACTTGTTCCCTTTTGTAGTTTGTAACCACTTTATGGATTCTTTTTCAGGTCAATACCAATAGAAGAGCGCTCTCGAGCAGTAGCTTTTGTTTTCGGTGGTTTGAGCGTTGGTAGCGTTCTGGGGTAATAATTATTTAGCCGTTCTTGAACCATGCATAACATTTGTTAATTTTTGCAAAATGGAAAGAGAATGTTCCGTTTTTCTGCAAAACGGAAAGAGAATGTTCCTTTTTCTGCAAAACGTGAACATTACATACTAAAATGTTGCTACTCTCTCTGTCCCACATAGATAAGCTTGTCACTGCATTTCATGTATGCCCCTGCTTAATTATCTTGGGATCACTAGTGCATTTATCTAGAGTGGCTTTAGTGACGGCCTAGTGGACTCTAAATAATCTAACCATAGGCACATGAGTGGATAATGCAATCTGTACTATATTAAACCAACACTTCTTAATCTGTTTGAAATTATTGTCGACGTATCTTTATGGGCCAGAGGGAGTATTTTCTCTGTCATGTCCAGCAATGGAGCAAAGATGAAGCCAGTAATAGTTTGTTTGTCTTAGTCATGTGTTTTGCTTTGGATTTTCTAACCTCTGAAAGTTTTGGATCATGGAACTGCAGGCTTCTTTTGTCTCCTCCACTGATTCAAAATTATGGCTGGGGATCTGTATTTTACATCTTTGGCTCACTGGGAATAGCTTGGTAAGTTATATGAATAAAGTTAAACTTCATTGTGCAACATTATTCCTTGATTTACATTGATAGCCATGAAAATGGAGAAGAAAATCCGTTAGTGTTACCTTTCTCCGTGCATTTATATGTTACTTTCTTTTTTCCTTTAATAAGACATTAATATCAAAATGGTTCATATTCCTTGTTTTGGAAGCCTCTCGGATGCTTTAGTTTTTTGTTTCAAGTTTCATAAGTTATGAAAGTTTGACTATTTGATGTTCTCGATCGTTTATGTTAAACTCTTGCAGGTTATCAGTATTTCAGTTTGTTAAAGAAGATCGGCGTCCATTTAGAGAGGCTTATCTATCATGTATGCTAATTATCTGTATATCTTTTTCGCATTCTCGTTTCTCAGTTTCTGTTCTACCATTTCTTCATATATTTAAGGGTAAAAATCATCTTTGGTACTCAAAGTATGTCTTAATTTCAAGGATGATACCTGCCCTGTCACGATTATAGATTTAGTACTTAAACTTTGCAAAAACCATCGAAATTGATACCTATTTCTTAAAAATCTGTCACACTTAACAGACTTAATAGGAATATATTAAATAACATTTTCAATGTATAAATAATATAAACACTAAATAAATAAACAGAAAAAGAGGGAAAATGGAAGCTCACACACACAAACACACTCACGTACAGCAGCCGCACTCACACATGCTGTGCATCTCCTCTCTCCTTACGGCGGGCGATAATTCCTCGTACCACCCCGACCATCAGCTTCATTATCTCAGAGCCAAGCCAGAAAATTTTCGTTCCAGCACAGGCTGGAAGGTCTCCGATTTGTTGAAAAAATTTCCGCCATCATTTTTTAGTTTCCCGATTCCAGCACGCGAAGTCATCAGCATCCAAATTCGAGCTCATTTTCATCATCACCAAGTATTTTCGTTTCGATCAAAATCCGTCATCCGATTTGTTGAAAAAATTACCAAGGCCTTAGACCTTCGTCATTTTTAATGCCATTCTGGGCCATGGCAATTTTCATTCTACTCAATTGAATGCAGCTTCATACTATTCTCTTCGGCACGCATCTTTCGAACCATCATTTGTCCAATTTTATGTTCGTTTCCATGTAACTTGTTTAAAGCCCGTTTACGGGCGGGTTGTTTTCCCCTTCTTCCGACATACAGCTGCCGGTGAGTGCCTCTCTGCACTGGTTGTTCACCTGCCACTATCTTGCTCCATCTGGAATCGATCAGTGATGGTGTTCGAATGGGGCTGCTCATATGTGCGTGTTGCAGTCGCGTCTCAATGTGTGAGTGAATTGTGTGCGTTATCTCTCCTTTTTTTTTTTTTTCTGCTTCTTTCTCTCTTTTTTTTCATTATCCATTTTTTATTTTTATTATTTATTAATCATTAAAGACAATATATGTTTCCTCATTCCACTTGACGGGTTTTTAACCGCTCAGACGGATTTTTAATGGCAGGTATCAGTATTGGTGATTTTTAGTAAGTTTGGGTACTAAATTTGTCAGTTGTATAAGGTCGGGTACCAACCCTGCAATTAAGCCTACTTTGGGTACCAAATGTGATATTTACCTTATCTGTAAATTATTAGTAGTTGAACAGGAGATTGTATTCCCGTGGAGAACTTTGTGTTTTTAGAGAAACTTTATTTTCTGCGTAAATGATATTTATTTTTTATGTAAACCCTGGTCTCTTATCAACTATTATCAATTAGTAATATATTATGGAATTGTTTCAATATTGTTATAGCTTTTAGAAAACTAATCCTGATTAGTGATGTCAAAATTTTCTAAACCAGGTTTAAACTCAAGCTTAACCTCATTGACTAAACCAGGTCAAGCTTAACCTCCAATATGTGGCTGATAAGTTACAACTCCAGCACTTGACATGTTTGTTGAGTCCTTCACTTAAATATGCCACATGGCCAGCTTTATTGTTCACGACCAGCATATAGGAGATCAGAAAATGGGTAGCCCAGGGACCAATGTGCCCAATAGACATTTTATTTTCCCTTCAGTATGTTAAATTTTTCTTTTTTTCTTTTTTAAAGTGAGTGAAATCAGGCAAAGCGACAACTGATCTATGACATTTACGAAGTATTTATATTATTGACCTTTACTTTATTATTGCTATTCACTCATATGTTAATGTAAGACGAGGGATGGAGCCAAAATAGTGGGGTGACATTACAGAACTTCTTTGATTTTCCATGGCAGTTGGGTTCTGCAATTATTATACTGCTTTTGTGTATAACTCAGACATTAAAGTAGGAGATCTTATTGGGACACTTCTGCTGGAATAGAATTGATTTTGCTCGTCTTAAATTTATCATTTTTTTTTTTTTTTTT